TACAATTTAAATTTAAAACTATAAAATTTTGTTTTCTATGATATCAATAAATATTAGGTACTCCTTCTACATTGGTGCGCACAAATAATAAACTACATATCATTAATATTTTCAATTTCCAGATGTATTTTACATCATGATTGTATACTAATTTAATTATCTAGCTATGGTTTTAATCAATTTGGTATCTGTACCAGCTAGATTGGATTGAAACAATTTTATTACATTTTAATAGATTATTTACATTCAATATATTAATTAATAACACTACCCATCTACATAAATAAATTACAATTTAATAAATTATTTATATATTTTCTAAGTATTATTCAAACACTTATAAAATGATAATCATAAAATTAAACGTCCGGTAAGTTCGTATGAATTGATAGTTAGGTAATTTAATTCAATGTATTTGTTTTATAGAATATTATATGGCTTTTAAAAATTGTATCCCCTTTACAATCCCGCCGCCCTAAACGATGGAAACAGCCAATTTTTCAAATACTATTAGTCACACAACTGTATATTATTATTTTTAATGGTGTGTGCATTAAATTCATGATTCTATGATCACTTTTTTTCCATAGCAGAGATCATAAAAAGTCCATTACCAAATAATTAAAAAACAAAAACAAAATTATCAAAAATCACAGGATAATAATTCCTATGGTATGATATTATAATGATATATTATATTTTTCTCTGTGGGTGTTGTACAACAGTATTATATGTTACCGTAATTTAATTAGTTTTTATTACCAGTACAGTTTTTTTTTTTCTAAACGTTCATAAAAGTTTATTACTTAAAATTTTTCAACCATCTTCTAAAAAAATAAACTATGTGTAATGAGAATATAAAAAAGCACCAAACGTAATAATATAATATACTCTAACCATGTTTCATCAAGTTTATTATTACAATTTTTGTTTATTTATTAGCAGATAAATTATATCTGTAAGAACCTTACTAATTACTATTACATTTTAATGATACAATTAAAATTATTTTGTTAGATTTCACTATTATAATATTATATTACATAATATGAATAATTATGCCATATGACAGTTGAAAAATAAGTCATTTCAACTATAAAACTAATTAAAGAATAATATAATTAAGGTAAAATTTGTATATCTTTATTACAGAAAAACAAATTAATTTTATTGGTCACGTGACTGGTACTGGTATCAGATACAGGTTATGGTTGATATTTAATATAAAACAGCTCACGTTTCTAGAAAATTATATCCCTAATACAGTACCTAATAAATTATATTTTTTGTTATTTTAAAGTATTTTTTTTTTTTAAGTAGGTATATAAAGTTGTATTTTTTATACTGTTTTTATCTCCATTAAATTGTATTGTTTATACAATTAACATATAAAGATAAAGATCTATATAAGTAATAGGAAATATTATAGTGTATTGTAATTTATTAATCTAATTTGATATTACTTTAAAAATTATGATCACAGTAACTAGGTAGTGGATTTTGATAATGACAATATATTTTTTTCAACATCCATAAAGTGTTGATAACATTTTCACACTATCTTGTTTTAGAAGTTACTCTCAACCATGTAAAAGTCAAGTTAAGTATAATAAATAAGACCACTGATAATTTCAAGGTGTTTTATGAATTTTTTTATGAACGTAATTTTATTTATGAAGATAATATACTAATAATTAATACCTATTGCTGACAAGTATTGTAGATATACTTTTCATTTTTTTCCC